TTGATAATGCCGCTCACGATTGGGGCTAATTTGAGAAATTGTATGCTCGTTACTCCATAGACGCATGACAACATCTTGCCTTGGAATGATTTGAACTTGGGGAAAAACCCTAGTATTAGATCATTGGAAAAGGCACAAATTTTCTTGAATGTGGTATTATTGGAAAGAAAAAAAGATCTTTCTGGTGGTTGTATTTATAAGACCAATTGATCGAGCTCAAACATCAATAGTTCTCAATTATTTCTTGACATCGCACACAATATTACTTTCTGCTCCAATTGTGGTGGTCTGGCAGAGGGGAATATGAGCGGTTGTAGGAGCACATGAGGGACTTTATGTGGTGCTTTGGATTTCATATCATTTAAAGACTCTCGCCCATGTCCTTCCAGTTTGTCCGTTTACTGTCTTTTTTTTCAATGGGTCCATTAATAATGCATATCTGAAAAACAAGAAATTGAGATTAATTCGTCTTCAAAAGGAAGTTGCAGTTTTTATTCACATGTAGGTTTTACATTCTTCTTTTAAAATACGTCCATTTTCCCATGAAATTTCCTCAGAATTCAATTTTGCACTCATTATCTATTGTATCTATTAATTGCCATGCGTTTATCAATTTCGTTGTGGCTTGTATCTTCTCCGAAATTTCTTTATTGCTGCTTGTTGGATTCGTTAAACAGTTCTCACGAGTTTCAATCTCATAAATTCAATGTGAAAGAATTGGTTGAAGGAAAAGGGCAAAATCCAAAAGATCCGTCTAAATCTTTGCTTTTCTTCTTGCCCTGATTCCAAATTTTGAGGATATCTGGTGAATTCCAATCCTGCAAATGAAGGATCCAAATGAACAACCGGTAGTCAAAATCTCCAATTATCATTTAAAACTATGTACAAAGTAAAATCTTCATGGCTACTTTAAAAGAAAGGTGAATATTGGTTTGCAGAAAATCCATTATCTATCCAATTTTTTAGTTTTCTTCATTCTAATCCAACAATAGATATGTAAGGGAGATATTTTATTAGGCAAAATTATGATAAGGCACTCTCTCTAATACAATTCATTAAATCTTGTCCTCAAGCTGCATAAATGGACTCTTAAATGTTTGTTTGAAATAAAACCTTGCCGACTACTTTTTGTTGATGAAAAATTCTCAAAAATACATCTCGCAAAGAAAAATAATGAAAATAAAAATAATAAAAAAAAACAGGAAGCAAGAAACTACATTAATAATTAAACAAATATTCTTAATACAAGAATAACAAATGTCTAAATTAATAACAATAGATTAATCGTATTGAAGTATTGGTATTGCCAATCCTCGGCAACGGGCGCAAAAACTTGACAAGCATTTTTCGCAGTATAGACGAAATCGCTACATACGAGAGTATTATGATAAAGTGAGTAGAGTATCGTGTCCACAGGGATTGTGTACCCAGTACCAAATTATATTATCTAATTATTGATTTAAACGATAAAAAGTAGAATTGTTTAATCTAGAAATTTATTCAAGTG